GTACCCTATTAATTTATTTGAAGAAATGTAAACATTGGTCATGCAATCCACTATGGCTTCCAGACCATATGATGAATGGGGTGCATATTTAAAATGGCTGGACAGACTGTTGATATTTATCATGGCACCACTTTTAAAAAGCTTCTACAAAGTTGTTTTAATTTTGTGGTTATTTCAGTATAAAATTTATACATTTGTGACAATTTCAAAATGTCTACCAAACCACTTGACTAATTAACCAGTAGAGGCTGCCAAACATAAGAATTTGGAAGCAGGATATGCATAGCTATTGAATATAAAGAAGTATACATTTGAGATTTTTCATCATTAGTCATATAAATCAATATGACCACCAAACCATGAAGCATATAAGCTTCACATAGCAAATGGCAGATACGGCCCAGGCATCTCTGGCTCTGAGAGTTGACCAGTTCAGACCTAGTAATTATCCATGGAATTCTTTGCATTAGCATGTACTTTTCATACTAGCGAACGCAGAAGTTCTCCTCGTTGGCAATTCATTTGGAAGCAATACGTTCCTGGCATCTCTATTAATGAAGGCCTTGTATCGCCTGTACAAACTTCCACTAGATTGTTGTAGAATTATTAGGCCTCTATGAATCTGTAAGGCCCCTTTAAATCCTCTTGCTATACCTCTAAGAGGCCCCCATAGTTTTACAAGAAAGCTTTGTCTATAGAACATAGAATTTGCATGTCAGCAAGAAATAGCTTTGATAAAATGTGTATTTACTAAAAGCCTTGAAACTTAACCTTGAGAAACTAACAAGTGCCAGCTACGCTCTAAATGGATAGCTGCCAAAAGGCCCCTCCCGTCGAGTGAACTCCTCATGTTAGCAAAATGGCGCTAAAACCTGTAGGAGTTAAGAAATTACGTAGATAGTGACCTAAGAATGGGGAGGGCATTTTACTAACATCTTAGCACCTAAGCCAATTAACAATGTCTATTTGTCTATATCTTGATTTTCTTCAATGATGTAATAATGCCTTTATAAGGGTCTGCGCACCCATTTTCTGTCAGAAGCCATTAAACTTCTCTGAAGTTCTTTCATTACCCTGAACCTTGTGTCTCAGTGTGAATTTACTTCTGCGTGCACGCAACTTTATTATCTTTAATTTGGACAGGAACAGATAGTCATTCAAACTAATTGGTTTGCAGTAAATTATATACGACAAATTGGCGCTTCCAACGTGGGGCTCTGGGCTATGTCCTGTCTGGGCAGCTGTCCAAGAAGACGCTGGGGGGGCTGAATCCTGGGGGAAGGAAAAGAGCCTGATCACCTCTGAATACACGGTAGAGATTGCTGCAGCACCTAGCCGGTATGTTCCTACCCCTGTGATTGACCTATCCCAGTGTCTGTGACTGCTGCCGAGAGGACATCAAAGTCAGGTAATAACTTGCCCAGAGTCTTTGTATTGTTAATGATACCTAGTTTACCTGCATGTTGACTATCTGTTGCCTGGGTGTGTTTGTATTGGTATGTGTTTAACTTAGTACCCGGGGAGTGTAAGTGCCTGTTTAACTCCTTTTAGGTACCACGTGCCTGTGGTAGTAAGGAAAAAGGGGGGTGGACCTGTGGAAGTTTTCCTGGGGGTCCTCTATTGCCTGTTTAACTCTTTTAGGAGCCACGTGGCTGTGGCTGTAAGGAAAAAGAGTAGGGGGAATCTGTGGAGGATGATGTAGACTCATTGCTTCCTGGGGGTTCCCCAGAGTGTCATTTTGACCGCTTAGCTTCTTGGTAAAATTCCAGCCTCGAGCGCTGAGGCAGGTAAGATTCCAATTCTTTAGGCTATACAGGATTCGGGTTGGAAGCTGTTGCTGTTTCCTGTGGCTGCTGGTAGTGAGACTTGCGGGTGGGTCCGCAACAGGGACACTACGAGGTTGAGGGAGGTGGCTTTTGGCCACACGAGTAAAGGCAAGGGATAAAACTGTTGAACTTATTTGAACTGTGATGCATGCACTGTATTTACACTGAAATGTTATTGTCTTAATTGTCTGTCACACAGATTCCTGTGTTTACTTCTATCTTACTCACTGTACTATTTACACTTTCCCCTCCTATTTCTCTTTCTCTGTTGAGAGAAGTGATTGGTCACACACTTCTCGCCACGCTCCAATCCGCGGCTACCACGGGTAGGCGGAATCAGTGACTAGTCTACGTTTTGGGAAGACGTACTTAAAGAGCTTGCTCTTAAAGTAGCAGTCGAGCACGGTAGACGTTCTGTTCCTTTCTCTCTCTATATCTGGGACGCCTTATATAGGGAGGATGGGACAGAAGTTAGATAAACCCAGTAAGGGTTGGTTAGCATGTGATCTAGTGGAAGACAGAGAAGCAGAAGAGATGGTTAAGAAAATGAGTAAGATTGCTAAAGTATGTGGAATTACAGTACCTCTGTGTGGCAGATTGTAGCCAGAGAGCTGGCGTAAGTTACTGACAGAGAAGAAAGGGAAGCTGTCGGACCAAGATTTGGTTTGTGCAGCAGAAGCCTGGTACCGAGTAGCAAGAGCTATTCAGCAAAAGGGATAGGTTGAGGAAGATATTGATCACAAAGGTTTAAGATTGTTTGTGTATTATAATAATTGTGTTACTGGATGCTGATGGATCCCTATTCTCCCCCCCCCATCAGTCCTACAGATCTCGTCACCCTCATCCTCTCTCTGCAGCTCCCTGCACCTCCAGTCCGTTTCTCCCGTCAAAGATTTCTGGTTTCCAAACGTATAAGTCTCTGTCCTTCTGTCTTGTTACTTTCCAGCACTCACATGGTTAATCTTCATGCCTGCAGCTTCACTCCCTTTTTTTTGCACTGTCTAACTTTCTCCCCCCCTCTCCTCCCCACTTGCCTGCATTTCTACTGATAAGAGTATAAGGTACTGAGGATTGTGGGAGTGACGAGCTCACAAGATTGCATTCAGTGTTGAATACGGGATTTAGGAAGGTGTAGAGGGAATATGCGATGTTAAGTCAGTATAAGAGGAGGAAAGTGATTAATGGTTTGAGGAAGATAAGGGAAATTGGTTGAATTCCGTGAGTTTATTTTGCATCATTTTATTATTTTAAAGTTATTTTAAAGTACATGTTTCTAGAAACAGCTGTATGGGCTGTTAAATGCATAATGTTTTCAACTGTCTTATTTAACCTGCCAGGTCTGTTCATAGTTTAGTATTTCATTTTGCAGAACGGAATGTTGCTTCTCTGACTTATTTTAATAGTTTTAATATAGTGTATTGTTGAAAGTGCGTCAGTCACCACCCTAAAGATGGCGCCTAGTACAGAAGGAGGTTGACCCTGCCAGTCCCGTGACCTATCTACAGTCACGGTTGCTTCTAAAGTGACGTCACTTCCGCCCTTACCATGCCCACACCTCCTGTCTTCCTTTCCCACACATATCATGGACGTCACCCCTCTCACTTCCTCCCTTGCTGTCATTTCCTTCCCCGCCCCTGTCATGGCTGCCTCCATCATGAGGCCTACCCCTATTATGCTCGTCCCATTTAGAGACATGTTGTTTTCCTTACACTCTACATATTATGAACTGAAACATTATAATTACTAAAACAATCATGCCATTTGTTTCCCTGTATCAGCAATTTGTCCGTGATATAAAAAAAAAGAGAAGGTTGCTAAAATGTAATTTGCAAATGTTGTGTGACCTACAAATGAGATCTGTTGGACACGAATATAAGAGCATAACAGCTGATTATCCAGCTTAATCTTGCAACAAGGGAAATAGCTAAATAATGCAAGTTATTTTAAACATTGTATCTTTACTTAATCGAATCTTGCTAGTTACAGATCGTATGTTTACAGTAACATCCTATACGTTAAATGATGGTTTAGCATTAGAAGGATTAGTGACATGTTTTATTAACCCAGCCACTACTGGTTATTCATTTTAGTTACAGGGTGGTATAATTGTTATAGTCTAATTAATATAAATGATAGTACCGCAATAGTTAATGTTTTATCCAAAGACATATAGGAACTTTACTTCACTTACTATTAACCATTATTTATAATGATAGATATGTTCAGACTGCAAAAAGCTATGGCTAATGACATAGAAAGGGGTTTGAGTCAGTAACACAGCCCATACAGAGGAGAGCAAACCCGCTGATGCTTAATGCCCCTGCCATGGCAGTGTCTACAGGGAACAAGGGGGGTCACTAGCCACTGTAACTTTACCTATTGAAGGTCACCCTACTACTTTCCTGGTTTCCTGGTTAACACAGGTGCATCCCGCAGTGTTCCTAGAGAACAAGACCTGCCTGACTCATCGTTCCTGCCTGTCACCGATGTCTCTTGTGTTGGTGCTGATGTCCTATCCCGCCTCCAAGCATCCATCACCCTCACTGCAGACGGCCAGGTTCAATTAAATACACCTTTGTCACAAAAAGACACTACAGTTCTTTGTTCCCTTCCCATTTTACTGTGGAGATGATCTACCCACAACAGAACAATGCTCAATTCATCTTCTTTACTATCTAGCAGAACAAGGATGTGAAGCTTCACGTCTCAAGCTGCAATTCTGCCAACCTACTGTTATCTTCCTTGGCCATTGTCTGTCTCAGGGAACCAGACATCTCACTCGTGACCGAGTTAGAGCAGTACTGGACATTCCACCTCCAAGGACCTCAAAGTCACTACACGCCTTCCTAGGCCTCATTTCCTATTGCCGAGCATGGATCCCAGAAGCCTCGCTCCTTATGCAACCTCTTTATGATGCTCTCAAGTCAGACCCATTTTGCTTGTCCACAGAAGCCCTTGATAACTTCTGTTCTCTCAAACGTGCTATTGCTTCTGCTCCTGCTCTTGGCCTACCAGACTATACCAAACCCTTCAAATTGTTTGTTTCTGAAAGACAAGGCCATGCAACAGGAGTGCTCACTCAGGCCCATGGTCCTGGAGGCCGCCAAAGGCCTATTGGATTTTTCTCCTGCCAACTGGATATTGTGGCCAGAGGACGTCCCTCTTGCCTTCGGGCCGTCTTTGCTGCCAGAGAGCTCATTGAAAGAACTGGAGATCTTGTCCTTGGCCACCCCCTGGTTGTCTTGGCCCCCCATGACATTTCTGCCATAGTCAACCAGGTCCAACTTAAGCATGTTACTCCTGTTAGGCATCTTCGCCTTCAATGTCATCTTTTGTTGCCTGACGACATTACCCTCCAAAGATGTCAAGTTCTCAATCCGTCCACTCTTCTGCCACTCCCTGAGGGGGGTGTATACTACGGATTCATCATGGACGAAACTTATGTTTTTCTTCTCACTGGCACCATCAAGAAGGAAATGCATCCCAACCTATCCTTTCATGATGGACAAGCACTCCTTCATGACGGAGCAGGATATGCCTTCTGTACCATGTGGTACAAATCAAACATCACTCCTGAACCCTGCTATGAAGATGAACTCTATCATCTGGTCGAAGTAAAACTCACTGCACAAGACTTCTACTGTGATTCTGAAGGCAACAGTATGGTCTTGATTCATCTACCTCCGGAACTCAAGCATTTGTACCGTCATTGGGACACTGCCATTCCACATGTCCCTGTGACCAAGTTGAAAACAATATCATGGAATGATCTTGGGCCTATGGCAAAAGCATGGGCCACTATGGACGAATCACAGCTACAGGAAAATGGTGTTGTCAAATATCCAACAACTGACCACCTAAAAGCATGGCCACGTCATTTCCTGGAAAATAAGTTCCAAGATTTAACCATAGTGAATGACTACGACCCAGATACACCTCATGACTGTTTTGAACAGATGAAAATGGAAACAACACATCTACCAACTGTACATGAAGACCCATTGGTAGATCCCGATCTCACCCTGTTTGTGGACGGCTCAAGATATGCTGATGAAGAAGGAAGATACCATACAGGATATGCCGTAACCACAACAGATGAAATTGTCAAATCATCATCTTTACCATCAACTATGTCTGCACAAGAAGCTGAATTGCAAGCCCTGACTTCAGCATGCAAGATCTCTGAAGGAAAGCGCGCCAATATCTACACGGATTCAAGATATGCACTGGGCGTGGCTCACGACTTCGGATTAATTTGGAAAACAAGAGGATTTCTTACCACCGCCGGTACACCAATCAAGCACGGTTCCGCAATCAAGGAGCTGATGGACGCCCTCCTACTCCCAGAAGAAGTGGCTATTTTGAAGATAAAAGCACATGGGAAGTTGGACTCAGATGAAGCAAAGGGCAACCATCTAGCTGGTCAGGCTACAAAACAAGCTGCAAAAGAACCACAGGAAGTGGAAAGAAGAGTGTCCGGAAATGAAGAAACTCCCATATTTACTCTGCAGACTCTTCCAACTGACCTGAAAATCCTGCTGGAACAACAGGCTACAGTTGCCCCTGAAGAAATACAGAAGTGGAAACAGAAAGGGGCAGTTCTGAAGGATGGAGTGTACTCCAACAACCTCAATTTCTGCCTCCCTAAGAATTTGTACCCAGCAGTCGTACAATGGGCACACGGACCTGCACATTTATCAAAGGATCTAATGAATGCTCTTGTACAAAAATACTACCTCACTGTCCCCATATGAGATTCTATTTGGGACTGCACCTAGGCTAGGTTGCTATTTTCCCCAACAACTACAACTTCAAACTGATGTTTTTGTAGATTATGTAACTGAACTCGCAAATGCTTTGAACAAAATCCATGCCCAAGTTTTCTCTTCAATTCCAGATCCTGATTCTGACACAGGCAACCACAGTCTGCTCCCCGGTGACTGGGTTCTGGTCAAGAAATTTGTGCGAAAACACACCCTGGAACCAAGATTTGACGGACTGTTCCAAGTTCTCCTGATCTCCCCTACCTCTGTCAAATTGGCCGGAAGGCCTAACTGGATCCACGCTTCCCACTGCAAGAAGACACCTGCCCCAGAGGAAGCTAACTCTATGCAACCATGTGCCTCTGGTACATTATCTCCTTAGTTGGCCTCCTTAAAGCCCAGCAGGTGGCCATCACCAAAGATGCTAGTGGGTACACTTTCTGGTATAATTCATCATGTACCCATGTGGCTACATTCACTTTTGATTACTGTGATATTGTAGAATGCCCATTCCCTAAGTCACAGATTCAAGCCATTTATAAAGATATCCCACAAGCAAAAGACCCTTACGTTTGTGTAGTAGATGAACAATGGGGTTATGACTGTAACTACTGGGGGGCTGCGGGATGGAATACTGGGCCTGCCTGGGGTTATAAACCCAAAAGTGCTTTATCTAAGATAGACAATCAGGGTAGATCCCTCCTTCAAAGAATGACTTTAAGAAAGCCTGGAGGAAGTACCCCTATGAAATTAATGTTAAATATTGAACATCCTGGCCCCGAGGATGCAGACCGATATGTAATGGGAATGTATTGGAAGAAAGGTTCCTACAACAAATTAGGTCATTTCTTCCTCAGAGATATGTACCACTCTCCAGAGTGGCAAGGGGCAGATCATATGGTCCCAAATCCGCTAAAACCACATATCCAGTCTTTAAAGATATGATGGCCATCGCTAACCCCACTTTTGAAGATACCATGGCCGCTGAAACTGGATTCAATGACATTAATTTGTGGTTAGAATGGGTGAGGTATAATGCCAACAAACATAATAAAACAGCATGTTATGTATGTGGCGGTGCCCGACCCCACCTTGGCACCGTCCCCCTAACTCTCCCTTTAGAGATAGAAGATTGCTTCTTAAGCCTTTTTGCCTACCAATATGACTTTAATAGGTCCCTCTGCATGGCATGGACGGCAGAATACCCTCTCTTAGTTGAAAATGTTAAGCCACCAGATGGAATCACAGTCTATAGAGGTAATTACACTTGTTATGCCATGTATGACGGGATTGGTAAATTCATGGGTAACTTTTCTAAAGGTTATTGCGCCACTTACAGAACTGTTCCTATACGCCTGTTGCAACACCATACCAGGTCATTGGGGGATATTTACTGGTTATGTGGGGATCTACAGTTAAGATCTAGGCTGGAAACTGAGTGGTGGGGTGAGTGTACCCTGGCCAAAGTTATCATGCCCATTCATATTATTTCTGATAATCATCATGACACATACGACCCTCCACATACATCAGCCAGAGTAAGGCGCGAAACCCCAGTAAAAGGCAGTTTTGACCCCCACATTTACATAGATGCCATTGGGGTGCCTAGGGGGGTACCTAATGAATTTAAAGCTAGAGATGAAGTAGCTGCAGGTTTTGAATCACTTTTTACCATAGTCACTGCCAACAAAAACCTTAATTGGATTAATTATATCTATTACAACCAACAGCGCTTCGTGAACTATACCAGGGATGCCCTCCAGGGCTTGGCAGCGCAATTACAGGCCACATCCCAAATGACCTTCCAGAACAGACTGGCCTTAGACATGATCTTAGCCGAAAAAGGGGAAGTCTGTAAAATACTTCCCGACACTATGACTTGTTGCACTTATATTCCAGAAAACACAGGTCCTAATGGTAAAGTCACTCTGGCCATAGCTAAATTAAATAGACTCTCAGAAGAGTTAAAGAGAAACTCTGGAGTTACTGATCCCTGGGAAAAATGGTTTGGTTGGATGACTGGTTGGCAGAGAGCTTTAGTCCAGATTGGTATTGCCTTACTAATTTTTCTTTTTATTCTCGCTCTTCTCATTTGTTGTGTCCTCCCATGCCTAAGGAAATTCCTGCAGAAAACTGTAGACCAAGCAACACCAACCTTCACTCATCTGACAATCGATGATCAAGACCTCATCTCACCCTGTATTCCGCTACAAACTCTCCCTTATACTGATGAAGTGCAGAAAGTCTAGGAAGGGACAGTACAGGGACAGCGTCCGTCTTTATGGGTAGACTGCCGTACGGAGAAGTAGTGGATAAGCCACTATGGGTTACCAGCGGAGTGAAGAGTGTTCCTGAACCGTACTGACGGATGTGCTGCAGCCTGTTAGGGTCAAGAGAGGGATAGACTTGCACTTTGCATTAACACTAAGTCAGCGGTCATGGGGTTTCTGTGTCTTTGGGCTAATACTTCTTCTGATACTAACAAATAAAGTTTTGTCTTTTAGCAAATAACATTTTAGGGGGGACTGTTGTAGAATTATTAGGCCTCTATGAATCTGTAAGGCCCCTTTAAATCCTCTTGCTATACCTCTAAGAGGCCCCCATAGTTTTACAAGAAAGCTTTGTCTATAGAACATAGAATTTGCATGTCAGCAAGAAATAGCTTTGATAAAATGTGTATTTACTAAAAGCCTTGAAACTTAACCTTGAGAAACTAACAAGTGCCAGCTACGCTCTAAATGGATAGCTGCCAAAAGGCCCCTCCCGTCCAGTGAACTCCTCATGTTAGCAAAATGGCGCTAAAACCTGTAGGAGTTAAGAAATTACGTAGATAGTGACCTAAGAATGGGGAGGGCATTTTACTAACATCTTAGCACCTAAGCCAATTAACAATGTCTATTTGTCTATATCTTGATTTTCTTCAATGATGTAATAATGCCTTTATAAGGGTCTGCGCACCCATTTTCTGTCAGAAGCCATTAAACTTCTCTGAAGTTCTTTCATTACCCTGAACCTTGTGTCTCAGTGTGAATTTACTTCTGCGTGCACGCAACTTTATTATCTTTAATTTGGACAGGAACAGATAGTCATTCAAACTAATTGGTTTGCAGTAAATTATATACGACAAGATCACCTGGCGAGCGTCTACCCTGAGCACTAGGATCCTGGTACTTGAGTCGTTAATCCCCCGGCAAAGCAGAATACACTGCAGAGTTGCTCTGGATATTACAGGATATTCAGTCTAATTAAAATCCACTAGAGATTCTCCTATGAGCAATCACACTATAGTAGAATGTAGATACAGCAAAGAAAGAGACAAATAGACAAGGAGAGCAAGCTTCTTCTTGATTTAAGAGAATTAACTGCATTGTGGAATGAGCACACAGCTTTTCTACAATTACAGGCATTCTACACTTGTTTGCATAATACAAAATATGCAGGTACAGTAATTCCATGGGTCTCCTTTACCATCTTACTTTAAGCTTACAATAGGCAGGATGTGACACTGTTGACTCAGTCCTACCTCCCACTGTGCTGGTTAAACATTTTACAATGGTTTGCTAGGTACATTTTCTAATCCCATCAGAGCACCTGGCAGCTAACTGAGGCCATCTGAGACAAAGAGTAACTGAATATATTACACATTCACTATTATTATTGGTATTTACATAGCGCCAATTTAATCTGCAGTACTTAAAGGGACACTGTAGGCTCCCAGACCACTTCAGCTCATTGAGGTGGTGTAGGTGCAATGTCCCATGTCCTGTAACCATACAGTGGTAATTATTGCAATTTTTGAGGGTTAACTCCTCCTCTCGTGGCCTTTGGTCTGTTATCTGACGTACTCATACTCTGCATGAGGACCTCCAGCGTCAGAATTGTCTCCTTAGGAAAGCATTGAATAATGCATTTTCTATAGGGAAATCTTAATGTGAGCGTGGCCATTGCCGTGCGTGCACATTAGGAGGAGCATAGGTGGAGCCTGGCCCAGCACTGAAGGACATCGGCGATGGATTCAGGTAAGTGATTGAAGGGATTTTAACCACATAAAAAAGAAGAATATAGAGAAAACTCCAATAGTGTAATATATCACAGCAAGATAATATGTAATATGCAAGTAGTTATGGTCCTACTCAAGTATAATAGAGCTAATACAATCTCTGGTGTAGTTCACATTCAATCTCTGGTGCAGTTCACATATATAGTCTACTCTGTATAAAATATAACATTTTAAATATAAAATGAATAACGGTTTTATACTCACATTTGATTTTGCAGATCTGACTGCTCAATGTGTAAAGCCTGAGTGGCATAATCCCCACCTAGGATTCTTTAGTGAGGTCTTCTATAGAGTTGCAGGCAGGAGACCAGGTGGATAAAATACAATAAAAGATAATTAAAAAAGAGGTATAATAAACACGTTTTGCCAACACAGGGCTTCATCAGGTGTTACATAGAGGCCAGACCTGGCACATGGAGGTATATATAGACAATACAACTATAAAAAATTTTAATTTTTAGCACCAAAATTACATCATTACTATGTGGCAGAACATCAAAACTTAAACTTTTATTAACTAATTCAAATCTATATAGAAACATAGAATGCGATAGCAGATAAGAACCATATGGTCCATCTAGTTTGCCCGATTTTCTAAATTTTTTCATAAGTCTTGGTCTTATCTTAAGTCTAGGATAGCCTTATGCCTATCCCTTGCATGCTTAAATTCCCTCACTGTGTTAACCTTGACCACTTCAGCAGGAACGCTATTCCATGCATCCACTACCCTCTCAGTAAAGTAATACTTCCTAAAATTATTTTTAAACCTTTGCCCCCCTAATTTAAGACTATGTCCTCTTCTTGTGGTAGCTTTTCTTATTTTAAATATATTCTCCTCCTTTACTGTATTGATTCACATTATGTATTTTAATGTTTCTATCATATCCTCCCTGTCTCATCTTTCTTCCAACCTATATATGTTAAGATATTTTAACCTTTCCTGGTTAGTTTTATTCTGCAATCCATGAACCAGTTTAGTAGCCCTTCTCTGAACTCTTTCCAAAGTATCAACATCATTCTGAAGATATGTCTCCAGTACTGCATACAATACTCCAAGTGAGGTTTTACCAGTGTTCTGTACAATGGCATGAGCACTTCCCTCTTTCTACTGCTAATACCTCTCCCTATACAACCAAGCATTCTGCTAGCATTCCCTGCTGCTCTGTTACTTTGCATCTGAAATAATTACCCCTAAATCCCTTTCCTCAGATGGTGAGGTTAGGGCTGTATAAAATATGCTATACTCTTCCCTTGGGTTTATACGTCCAAGATGCATTATTAATTATCTTAATGAATAACTTTCTTTGAATATTATATTTTAAAAAATGAGGATTAGAACATCTATAAACATAATAAATAAGTTGCTCACGTGACGCGTGACCATAGTGCCACGTCAAATGGTCGGCCGGTATGTATTATGGGAATTGTATCCAGAGCGCGACTGGAAATGTTGGGCATAACTCTGAAGTAGATGTGGCTGGGCGCGTGACGCGCAACCCTGGTACAGCATCACCCGATTTTCCATAAAGCCTATTTCGCGACAAGTGCTGGATAGTATAACGGCAGCAATCTTATAGTGGATTTAGCCAGTTTTTTAAAAAGAAGTGACGGATCTTTGGAGTAAGGAAGGTTATCTGTAAAGGCCTCAATGGGTAAACATAAGCAGTAATGTGGAAAGGGTTAAGGTGTGGCCTGCCATTCTTATCCAATGGGATAGCTACTATAGTTGCTGGCTAGTTACAACTCTAGTGGCAGTCACTCAGATGCCCTATAAAGGTGCATCTTTGTCCAGTGCTGCACATTTTGCAGCACTAGCGTTCAGCGTCTCTTCGCACTGCATGGAGCCAATGCAACTCTATGAGGAGATGCTGATTAGTGCTGCGTGGAGTTTTGCTGTGCATGTGCAGTATCCTTCTAATACTTTCCTATGGATTGATAATCTCAGCCATGGAGGTGCGGTGGAGAGACAGGTGCAGTGTGGGAGAAAAGGTAAGTAAAATCACCTCTTCACTGCAAATAGATGGTCACCTAAACAGCCACTTCGGGACTACTGTACACTGAATTGCTTCTTTAAGGGAAGACACATTTAATTGTACAACATGAGTCAAGCCAGATGGATAGAAAACTGACAGGTTCACTTTAACAAAAGCAATAGGTTTTCCATAAACTTCGTCGCTTGGCCACTAATAAAATTAAATAAAATTCTACACCACATGACAATGGAGTTACATTTGTAAATTTGCTTTGTTTAATTATTTTGACTTCCTGTTGAACAAAAGATTTAATTTCTGTGTAAAACAGGCTGTTATTTTCCATTTCAAAAGCCACCGCACTTGTGAGTGTCATAGATAAGAAACCCTGTTGATATAATACTTGATAATGGGATAATATTTGTAAAGCCAATATCTCATGGAAAGGTTGCAAAGCAAAGCAAGCTATGACTCAGTGTATTGTTTTGATAGCAATCTCACTGTATTTGACACCATACATTCTAGTTATGTATAATCTAATATAACAAAACAATTCTCTATATTTTCTGTGATAAATTGTGTAATTTAAAAAAAATATAATCAATATAAGTTGATGTTCAAGTATAAAATATTCCTAACACATTTTCAAGATAATGTCATTTTAAACAGGGATTGTAATATGTGTGAATGTACTGGTCTGAATGAGCAATTATCACAAGGTATACTTTATTACATTAAGGGGACACTATGGCAACCAGAACAAAAACTGCTTAAAGGGACACTCCAGACACCATAACAACTCCATCTAAATGAGAAGAAGAACCTTAAGGGGTTAAACCATTCCCAAATTACCTTGCATGATACTCATAAACACATGGCGGTGTTCAAGGAGATCTCATTCTGTCACATCTCCTGATAGCCCCAATCTGGGTGAACAACATACCCAAAAATCACCCAGATCGGTTCAGGGGTTCAGGAATTTCCTGGAAGTCATAGTTTTGACCAACCGCAAGCATGGCCCCATGCCCAAAACAGTTCCATAGAATCAGGACTAACAGTCGGTCTCTCTGTCTGGAGTACAAAAGTACATAACTTACATGAACAGAGCCTGTTTAAAGTATTTTAGCCAGGTTTATCATAGTCACAGGGCAGGAGACTGGCAAACAGGCACCTTCAAAAACCAGTGGCTAGGTCACTTTCGCCACAGCATATACCAAAGGTTTAAGTTTGTATTTCTTTATTTATTTTAAATTTTGATTGATACAATGCATTAAATCATAATATTCTTAAAAGCAACAAAGCTTTTACATGAGACTTATTTTTTGGTCTTCATTTTCTTTCCAAATTGATTGCTTACAAATGTAACAAATTAACATAATTATTATTGCTACAGTGAATTGAACCCATAAATACAGTAAAATTAATCTATATTTGGAAATAAAAAGAATAGCCATTCACTTGATGTTCTCATGTGATTTATAATTATAATTCTACAAATGATGAATGTGGTTTCTCTTTTTTGGTTCGTGGCACAATTCAATCTTTGTGTAGGATAGAGATCTGTCTAGTAGTCAAACAAACACCAAAGTTAAATAAAAGAAAAACATTAATTTAGTTTTCCATAAATGGGTTATGTTTTAAGAAACCATTTTCATGTCATATTTAGTGTCCATCAGCTGTATTGTTGTTATTTTTCTCATTTTTATATATTATTTCTCATTTATAAGTTGATGATCATAAATATATAATGTGAACATAAAAGTGCAATCTCTTCTTTAAATACATTTGACATGTATGGATTGGGTAAATGAAATGGAGCAAAATTACTCTGGACAAGAAGGTAGAAAAAAAATTTGACTTGCTTTATTCTTAGTACAGAAGTGGATAATAAGGGCAATTTGTAAGGTTGTGCGTTCTCTGCTTTTTATACAGTTTTTTTTTCTTACTAGCAGATATGTAATGCTGACCTTATTTTCTATTTAATTTGCAACGTCGCAGCTTGACACTTGGCTACTATTCTGTGTTATTTTATATCTAGTCATATTTACTTGTACCGTATTTTCCGGGGTATAAGACGACTTTTTAACCCTTGAAAATCTTTTCAAAAGTCGGGGGTTGTCTTATACGCCGGGTATCGTCTTATGGCTGGAAGTTACCACAGACAGCCATTACGTCGCCGCATATGGTGGGGGGAGCTCAAAAGCGGCCGCATCCCCGCCGTATGGAAGAAGCAAGGGCGGCGCTATAGAAGAAGCCCTTGTATCCTATTACCGTACCTCCTTCTCTGCCTCTCAGGTCTCGCACATGCGCCGATTCACTGCAGTCCGTAGGAGCGAGATCTCAGATCTGCAGTGAAGCGGCGCAGGTGCGCATGTGCGAGATCTTAGAGGCAGAGAAGGAGGTACGGTAATAGGATACAAGGGCGGGCCAGACGAGTGAAAGAGGAGTGTTTGCCATAGTCTTGGAGACAGGGAGGGCTGGGCAGGCAGGGAGAGCTGACCAATCCAACCAGCCAATCGCCGGTAAGGTACATCACTTGCCGTGATTGGCTGGTTGTTTTGGTCAGCTCTATTTTGGTTATACTGGGTACCACATACAGTTCAGCACCAGTATCTGTACCTGTTCATACAGTACAGTACCAGTATATGTACCTGTTCATACAGTACAGTATCAGTACAGTAAATACAGTACAGTACCAGTACAGTAAATACAGTACATACAGTACGTATACAAATGTCCAACAGTCAAAACCCTCATCGTGGCTCCACCAGCAAGAAGAAAGAAATATGAAGCCAGTTTCAAACTTAAAGTTGTAAACTTTGCCATGGAACATAATAACTGCACTGCTACAAGACAATATGGAGTAACAGAAAAGATGGTTCGGGATTGGAAAGCAAAAGAAAAAGCATTAAAGAGTATGCCAAGGGGTAAGTGTGCATTAAGAAGAGGCACCCCACATTGGCCAGAACTAGAAAAAAATGTAGCAGACATGGTGAATGAGCATCGCCAAAACGGTTATGTAGTGACACAAAATAAAATACGTTTGTTTGCACTTCAGTGGGCCAAATCTAACTCAGATCACAGCAACATATTTAAGGCCACTGTATCCTGGTGTACTAGATTCATGGGAAGGCATAATATGGTACTGAGGCAAAAGATGAAAATTGCCTGCAGATCTTGATAGAAAAGTACATAGTTTCCATCGATACGTAATACAGCAGCGCACTAAACATGGCTATGCGTTAAGTAGTATTAGAAATATGGATGAAACTCCAATTAATTTTGATATGGTAGGAAATAAAACTGTCCATCAAAAAGGTAAAAAAACTATTTTAATTAAAACAACAGGACATGAGAAGTCCAATTTTACAGTGGTACTAGGATGCACAGCTGATGGCGCCAAACTGAGACCAATGATTATTTTTAAAAGAAAAACAATGCCGAAACTCAAGTTCCCTGTTGGTTGTTTTGTACATGTGAATGAAAAAGGCTGGATGGATGAAGAAGGGGTAAAGCTATGGCTTGATAATGTATGGAGCAGGCGACTAGGTGGACTTATTCAAAAACGTAGTCTACTGGTGTGGGATATGTTTAGGGCTCATTTAACTCCCAGCACCAAGCAAAGGCTTGCAAGACTAAACACAGATGCAGCAGTTATTCCTGCAGGTTTGACATCATTGGTACAGCCACTGGATGTGTGCCTAAACAAGCCATTTAAAGATCGCATTCGAGAACAGTGGAATGAATGGATGGTTGGCGGCGAAAAGTCATTGACAAAAGGATGAAACATGCGTGCTCCACAGTTGGATGTTTTGTGCAAGTTTGTCATAAAAGCCTGGAATGATATTGATGCAGAAACAGTGATCAAGTCTTTAAAGAAGTGTGGCATATCAAATTCATTAGATGGTATGGAGGACGACTACTTGTGGCAAGATGAAGAGGAAGCCGATGCTGAGACCACACCATCTGATACACCATCTGATACAGAATTCGATCCATACGATGACTGCCTTACAAATGTATCACAAGATGTCATTGATGTACTTATATCAGATGACGAACAGGAGGATTTTGAAGGCTTTTAAAGGGAAACTGTCACGCCAACAAAACCTGTAAAAATACAGTGGCTTGCAGTTATGATGGGCGTTTCTAACTCGCCAAGGACTTGCTCTCTCTCTGTTATTTGCTATCTTCCTCCTATCATCATCATCAGTTCCAGTTTGGTTGACAGCTTAGAAAACAAACAGCATGGCAGCTCCCATGGGTTTATTGTCTAATCCTTCCTTTCAGCTTTAGAGTGAATTATGAAAAGTTCAATCCACTTGCACTGTTTTATGTTTACATGTTTGATGACAAACAGCCTTATGTTTATAAGTGACAGTTTTTCTGCTAAGTACCTGCATGTCATAAGCATTTGAATTAAAATTACCATATTGAAATCAAATCTGATGTTTTTTTAATTTTTATTTGGTGTGCATTGGAAGAGGGGTAGTCTTATACGGTGAGTAATTTCCAAACTCTATATTTTAACTGGAAAAGTTGGGGGTCGTCTTATACGCCCAGTCGTCTTATACGCCGGAAAATATGGTAGTTATGTATTTGTGCTTTGTATATTAAAATAATTTAATATTGTTCTTTTTCTTCTTCTCAGTTATAATACGGTAATCATCACTGATGTCATTTCTACTCATTTTGATTTAACGATGTCTGAAACAATATTATATGTGAATGCATTTTTGCTTTACAGATAGACAGAAAAATTTGTTTCGGCTGACTCACTTTGTTAAAAAAAAAAAAGAAAGAAAGAAAAGAAAAACTTTCAGAATGGCAACATTTTGGCCTGGTGCCAGTTTGGCTCATCTGAATTTCATTAACAAATTTAAGACTTAAGAGACTGTCATGAAATGCATATAAGACAGTGAAAAGGGGGTTAGAGCAGTGCTAAACAAACTATAGAAAGGAGTGGGAGGCAGCACACCTCATAATAGGGGAATCCCTCTGACCCCTGAGAAAACTAGTTTAAGTCAAAACAAAGGAACAGGTAGCGCCGAAAATAGAATATTACAAACAGAAGTGCATATGGTAAAAAACAGTAACTTATACACAGAATAAATATATTAAAAAAAGAGCCCACAATAAAACCTAAAATTTGAAATGGTAAGGCACAGTCTCAGAGGAAGCAACACATCTTCTAGTTCTTGTATAGTACTTTTAGGATAGTCTTGCTTGGTAGCAGCATATGAAAAGAAACAGAGGACAAAGGCAAACCGGCAAACCAATAGGGCAGTAAAAAGTAGGGCATACAACACTAATAACAGATGTCAACTCACATATGATAGAGCTATAACCAGCTCTAGGTAAAACAGCATGCAGGGGTTTATAATCCCCATTTGCAGGATATCCCTCTGAGTATGGTACACGGTAGAGAAATCACAACTGGATTACCATGAGGTAGATATATGAAATGACAAAGGCAGCCACTAGTACTCTCTACCTAGGTAAGTATTATAGAGATAAAGTGAGATGTACTTACATTTAAATGAGCAAGCTAACCGTTATGTATCAGGCGTGGGTGGTGCAATCCCCACCTTTGATTCTTTAGTTGATTGTCCGCAGAGGATCCAACAGGATAAGTCCAGATGTCAGGTAAGGTATAAAAAAAATATAATTTTTAAAAAGTATATGGCTAGAAGCAGGTAATGAGATAATCAATTTTTTTTTTTTTTTATTAAGAACAGAAATAAAAACCACAACACGTTTCTCCCCTAAAATGATTAATTTCTAAAATTATCCGCTTAATTTAAGCCAAGACACCATCTTCAGCAGCAGCATTACATTTAAAAAATCACAGTTAGTTCATCCAACCACATTTGGCCCCGCCCCTTTCTGTGATGTCACTTAGGCTCTTATCAACATCTACGCCTTTTTAATAGCAATACAGGTTTTTTTAAATAGACAGACAAATAAACAGAAGAGGAAATAACTATACTATAACACCTATACTATCTTAGACATTGGGGTAGACTACCATAGTCTACAGCTTGAAGCTTCACAACTCTACTACTCAAAGTCATTTTGCAAGGACCTTTCCAAAGTCCTTGTAAGAGTGGTTGTGACTCCACTGGAAGCAGCGCTGTATCTACAATGGACTCTTGTCTCAAGGGAGGTACACTTCCCATGACCAGGGATTCCACCGGCTGTGGTCCACAATTCTCAGCACCTAACTCCTCAGGTACTTGCTAAAAGTGCCTTCTATTGTGTCGGGCAACAGTCCTACCTTTTGTGCGGATCACATAGGACCTTGGCTCTATGGAATGTCCTTATACAGTAGCCATGTCTTCCACCTCTTTTCACCATCAAACTTGACTCCGTCACTTTGGCCCTGGTACAGCACAGGCAATGGGCATGCAAAGTGTCTTCTATTGTGAAAAAGAACCTGTAATTCTGCATTGCCTCCTTATATCTCCTCTGAATGTCCTCTGAAAGAATAGGGGAGGCAGGCTTGAATGCCCCCACAAAAGGCAACATGGTACAAATATGTCACCCTAACATCAGCTGTACAGGCTATAATTGGGGCTTTAATTGGGGACCCCCTGTAGGCTAGGAGGGCCAAGTAAGGTTCTGGTTGCTTCTGCAACCAGAACCGCTTTCTCAGCCATCCCAATGGCCTATGGGAATGCGGACTAGAAGTAGAGTGAGAAATTATACTTTCTATCGAAAGATCTAAACTCAGTGGAAGCGAACTCCATTGCTCACCAACTCCAATGGCATACCCCAGCTGACAAACATGCTTTCAAGACAGGTGATGACAGCCATGCTAGTTGCCTCACCTAAGGGGGCAATTGTGAGATACCTTGAGTATTAGTCTACAACACTCAGATATTTCTTTCCATTGAGTTCAGCCAAATCTGCAGCTCTCTTTTGCCAGGAGCCCACAGGCAGCAGAGTAGATATTAGAGGCTCTCTCCTCTGTGTAGGCTGATGGTCGTGGCACTTGATATGTATTCTGCAATGTCCTGATTTCTGACCACCACACTGCTGTTGCTGCTCTTTGTCTACACTTTGAAATCCCCAAATGGTCCAAGCAGCATCCTTCTTTAACAATTCTGTAATAGGGTAAAACTCTGAGGATAATTCTAGTATAAATTTGTTAAATAATTCATAAAACCCAGTATTTGTCTCAGTTAAGTTACGTAGGCCTTTTCATTTTCTCAATGGTGAGAACTTTACAGGCATCTGGCTTAATGCCATCGTAATGCCATCTCTGCTATTAATATGACCAAAGTAGCACCGTTCCCTTTTCCCAAAATAACATTTATCTTTGTTTAGCTTCAGTCCAGATGCTCTTACTGTCTACTATACAATATGCAGTTGCTAATCATGCTCTTCTTTAGTGGACCCATAAACTAGGATGTCCTCATGGTCACTCAGGAGGGATCTCATCTTCCATTAAAATATCTCAGGGGCAGAAGATATACCAAAGGGGAGCCAGTTGAAACAAAACTGGCCTGCTGGTGTAATAAAGGTAGTCAGCTTGCAGCTACCTGTGTCTAGGAGTATTTTCCAAAACTCAATGGAAACATCAAGCATGGAAAATAATTTAGCCTCTGACAACCTTGGAGCTATATCTTTCTCTGGTGTTTTAAATCCACACAAATGCAAACTTTCCAGTTTTTTTTAATGACAGGAACATTGGGAGCACAGCAGTCAGTTGCTTCAGTGACGTTCTCAATAACACCCATACACTTCATTCTCATAAGTTCTGCTTTAACCTGTGGATTTCTATGAGATGTAGTAATACTGTAATGGATTGTATTGGTCTTAAGCTATATTTGGACCAACTCACAAGTCATAGAAACATAGAAACATAGAACATAGAATGTGACAGCAGATAAGAACCATCCGGCCCATTTAGTTTGCCCAATTTTCTAAATACCTTCATTATTCCTGGCCTTATCTTATAGCTAGCATAGCCTTGTGTCTATCCCATGCATGCTTAAACTCCTTCATTGTGTTAACTTCTACCACTTCGGTTGGAAGGCTATTCCATGTATCCACTACCCTCTCAGTAAAGTAATACTTCATGATATTATTTTTAAACATTTGCCCCTCTAATTTAAGACTACATCCTCTTGCTGTGGTAGTTTTTCTTCTTTTAAATATAGTCTCCTCCTTTACTGTGTTGATTCCCTTTATATATTTAAATGTTTCTATCATATCCCCCCTGTCTCGTCTTTCCTCCAAGCTATACATGTTAAGATCCTTTAACCTCTCCTGGTAAGTTTTATCCTGCAATCCATGTACCAGTTTAGTAGCCCTTCTCTGAGCTCTCTCTAAAGTATCAATGTCCTTCTGGAGATATGGTCTCCAGTACTGCGTACAATACTCCAAGTGACGTTTCACCAGTGTTCTGTACAATAGCATGTGCACTTCCCTCTTTCTACTGCAAATACCTCTCCCTATACAATCAAGCATTCTGCTAGCATTTCTGCTGCTCTATTACATTGTCTGCCTACCTTTAAGTATCTGAAATAATTACCCCTAAATCCCTTTCTTCAGATGTTGAGGTTAGGACTCTATCAAATATTCTGTACTCTACCCTTGGCTTTTTATGTCGAAGATGCATTATCTTGCACTTATCCACATTAAATGTCAGTTGCCACAACTCTGACCATTTTTCTAGTTTACCTAAATCATTTTCCATGTGGCTTTTCTCTGGAACATCAACCCTGTTACATATCTTAGTATCATCAGCAAAAAGGCATACCTTACCATCAAAACCTTCTGCAATA